TTCAGTCACTTGTTGTTATAATAGTCACTGGTCAGTCAACATATTATGTGTACCCATGTAATAACATGTGATGGGTTTTTTATCCATGTTATAAGTCACTATATAGTGACTTGCTGAAAATTTTTAAGTATACATAAGTGGCATTTATAACATAGCAATATTATGCAACATTCCGTTTCAAACGAAAGATCGTAGAACGAAGACTACATACGAATCCTTACAGATACATAATCGTTGATTAATTATTGTCTATTTAATATTAGGCAATAAGCTAAAGTGTAGTATAAAATGCACGAATACTGCAATCAGATGAAATAAATATAATTGTGTGTTATAGATACTGTAAGCATGTAAATAATTTGATTGACACAATTTTTTAGTCTGATACTTCACTAACCTTGACTTCGCTACATATATTTAATATTGTATTTTATGTATAGAATAATAAGTGCACAGTTGATGGACATTTAGAAACGATTATTTTATTATATTTAGATACATTATGAACACGTAAACGATTATTTACTGTACATTTTAACGTATTACAATGTATTAGTCGTACTGAATGTTGAATATAGACATTTAAACCCGTCCACATTATTGCAATTGTTTAGTTCCATCTCGAATACGCCGAAATTAGCTATTATTAAGTATTAATTAAAAATTCTGAGTTAATAAAATAACAACATATTTCCAATGCAAAGTCTGGAGAGATTTTTTGCACAATAGCTTGTTAATAAACCTGTAATTGATTGTAATTAACAATGAAGTGATGATAATGCTTTGTTTGTGTTCACAGGTTTATTATTACTCACACAAATGCGGCTAAAGGCACTATGATAGACAGCTATTAACCTCAATTGTTTGTCATTTATTATTTAACGTTAATCGATAGGACTTGTACATAACGTAGGTATTTTCTTTCATTCTTGTTGAAAACTATCATGTAATAATAAATCATTATAGAGTGTAGCTCGTAAAACAGTAGTCTATATAGTCATACATATTTCAGTGGCTTTATATAACGTGGGTGTAAGTTGTGTAACTTGGGTTGCATATTTTGATACTGATTACTGCTACAAGTGGTGTATGTTGGGCTGCATATTTTTCCTATGTTTTCTATAATAAAACCATTTTTATTAGAGAAGGTATTATTTTAAAATGATTTGTGGGCCTAAAGCAGACATATTATATCATAATATTGTTGCCGACAATGAATATGGGCAAATAAAACAGAGTAAATAGTAGAATTAAGGTCCAAACTATTAAGTAAGTGAAGTTTTATGGCAGTCTAGTGATAAACAAAGATAAATTGCATCAATAAACTTGCACTGCATACATAATCATTATTACATTCGTTTTGTCTTGAGACTTAACAAATGTTTTACGCACTTTTTGTACATTTGTACATTTACACGTAGTTTGCGTGCATGGTAATATGTACATGGACAATGGGACAATTATTTGGTTTATCAATTGCAGGTTTAAATATTACAACTGTAATTAGTTAGTTGTACTTTCGCATTTTTTTTTGTAAGTAAATGATATTTGCGGTGGAGATAAGATATTGTAACAATGAAACAATTTTACCATACGATAAGTATGCTATTTAATAATTATTATAATAATAATAATTATAATGATAGTAGTGGATATCTCTTCCGAATTTATAAAAAGTTAATAAAGCTGATAAAAAATCAAAATTAAACACTTGACAAAACGTAGACGTGAATTATCTTAATTAAAAGTTGTTCACATCCTAATTACAAAAAATTCAATAGATTATCGATTACTTCTATATCACTTGTGGCGAATTTACATTCTGTTACATGCAATCATCAAAATATGACTTGGTATATGAAAATTCGTACAAATACTTTTAGCTATTTGTTCATGTAAATAATAAGCAAAATACATAAGTAAAAAAAATGCATTCTATGGTTTTTAAGGGGTGTTACGTATAGTTTAAAAGGTCAGTTAGGTTTAGAGGAGCAAGTGATATTTTCTAATAGACTTGGTTTAAAAAAGGAAAAATTCCGACAAAGAAATGTGTAATTTCTATGTTCGGTGTACTTTTTGCTTTACTTGTGCATCATTACATCCTTCAGAAGGATTACTAATCGAGGAAAGGGAGATGTTATATATTTATGAAATTTTTCGTTACTGAATCAATACTCCTTGATTGTAATAACTTGAGAAAACGCTTCGTAATTAAGAACAAAGGATAACTAGAAACACTGAACTGGATTTGTCTATGACAAAAAAATACATTGGACGTAGAAATCATACATACGAGGGTGGATTGATAAGTTTCCGGCCTAACCAAGAGATGACGCCACTAGGCCTACCTTGAGGTGACATTCTATAGTACCATCCTTGGATAGCTTGTAGCTATAGTTTCAGCCCGATCTCCTTGCTAGTGTAGGTTTGACAGCACGCTGAACAAGACGCCTCTGTGGTTTTCGTAAAAATGGAAAAGCAGGAAAATCGTGCTGTCATCAAATACTTTTATTTGAAGGGGTTAACGCCGAAGGAAATTAAAAAAGAGATGGACTCAACACTGGGGACATCCTCCCCGTCATATTCAACCGTTAAGCAGTGGGTTTCCGAGTTTAAAAAGGGTCGTGTGAGCACCTCTGATGGGCCTCGCTCAGGACGCCCCGTCGAGGTCACAACTCCAGATATGATCGAAAAAATTCATCAAATAGTGCTGGGAGACCGCAGATTGAAAGTGCGTGAGATAGCTGAGACCTGTAAGATGTCATATGAACGTGTGCAACATATTTTGCACCAACATTTGCATATGGAAAAGCTCTGTGCAAGATGGGTGCCGCGTTTGCTAACAGTCGACCAAAAATTGATTCGAAAAAACATTTCTACCGCAAATTTGTCATTGTATAAGCGTAATCCAAGCGAATTTTTGCGTCGATTCGTAACCGTTGACGAAACGTGGGTCCACCACTACACTCCTGAAACCAAAGAACAGTCTAAACAGTGGATTGGACCAGGGGAACCAACTCCAAAGAAGGCAAAAACAATTTTTTCGGCGAACAAGGTTATGGCTACTGTTTTTTGGGATGCAAGAGGTATTATATACATTGATTACCTTGCAAAGGGTAATACTATCACTGGTCAATACTACGCAGACTTATTGCAACGTTTGAGCCACGAGGTGAAAATTAAACGACCTCATCTGGCGAAGAAAAAAATCTTGTTTCATCACGATAACGCACCAGCGCACACGTCAATCGTTGCGACGGCTAAAATCAACGATCTAAAGTTTGAATTGATGCCGCACCCTCCTTACTCTCCAGACCTAGCCCCGAGTGACTATTTTCTGTTCCCTAATCTCAAAAAATGGCTTGGCGGTAAGAGATTTGCGGACAATGAAGAAGTAATCGAAGCTGTAAATGGTTATTTTGAGGAGCTTGACGAATCAGTCTATAGAGATGGCATTAATAGACTGGAACACCGCGATGAGAAATGTATCAGCCTTGGAGGAGATTATGTTGAGAAATAAAAAAAAAAAATTTTTAAAAACCTTGTTTTTCTTGGTCAGGCCGGAAACTTATCAATCCACCCTCGTATACAAGCCAGAAATCTTTCAGTCTAAAAAATTGCTACATATGCCACAAATTTGGCATGTAACCAAGAAGGAGAAGGTTCCTGAAGCCGAAAAATTTTTACCAATAAGGAAAAGGATTTTCGTTTGATGAGAACAACAACTAAAATTAAATAAGACGTGAAATTAAGTACTTTGGAAAGTATTTATCAATTTATTATCAGTTTTCGGTATTTCAAAATACCTATTACGTAAAACGTTAATTAAATGACACTTCATATTTTGGCCACTCTTATTATACTTGTTATAAAAATTATAACGAAATAATTTTTTTTTTATTTAATCTGTACATGCTTGAACTATTAATTATTGAAAACACTTCGTCATGTCTGTATCATTGATAAAGTTAGTATGAATTGCATTGAATTATTTAACGAAGTCGATATTTTTACGATGAAAAATCAAAGTTCGACTGGAATTCGACTGATTTATTCATTATTTATAAGTAACTCTCTTCGCAATGGGAAACACAATTAATACCACTAGAGACTTGTATTTATTTTGTAAAAGTTACTGTGGTTTTTAATTAAAATTTATAATAAAAAAATGAAAACAAAGTTTAAGCTAAAATTTGATTTTAAATTATCTTTTTGTCATGAAGTATTAGAAAACTATAAGATACTTCACTAACCTTGACTTCGCTACATATATTTAATATTGTATTTTATGTATAGAATAATAAGTGCACAGTTGATGGACATTTAGAAACGATTATTTTATTATATTTAGATACATTATGAACACGTAAACGATTATTTACTGTACATTTTAACNTGTAAAAGTTACTGTGGTTTTTAATTAAAATTTATAATAAAAAAATGAAAACAAAGTTTAAGCTAAAATTTGATTTTAAATTATCTTTTTGTCATGAAGTATTAGAAAACTATAATATTATACGTAGATATATAACGAAAAGTTAATAAATGGATTATTGTGTTCTTATAAACATTGCAACAATAAAAAGGCTTATATATATTGCTGTGTTTGTTTATAAAGTAGTACTTACTAACATATACAATTTAAACGATTAGGTACCTATTTTTATACCAATTTATTTACTTTCATAAAGCAATTACGCTAATAACCAGACACGATGTAACCTTGTTTTAATCCCCATTACATGTTGTAAATTATTTAAATTCTCCTAAAATAAATTTGGAAAACAATAACCGTCTCCCTATCTTTAGCTACTAAAGTTGTGTGAACGCGAGTTCGCATTTATATACGCGGTATTTCTTTTGGTGGGGGAATGTAGACTCATCTGATTGGTTTTGTCAACAACGAACAGTTGTTCTTTTGTTATATCGGCCAATCAGAGTTGATTTTGTCTTATTTAACGATTAAGGTCTCGTTAACAATTTTATATTTCTTGTTTCAGGTGGGTGATACCTTTTCTTAAATATGGTTATAAGCATGACTTAGAAGTTACTAATCTGTACAATACCACCCCTGGTGATTATTCGGATATATTAGGCGACCAACTTGAAAAGTATGTGACAGATAGTTTTTAATTGGAAAAATATTAATAAAATCGTTGGATTATTTTACAGAAATTGGGAAGATGAATTGCAGAGGGCAAAGAAGAAGAATAAAAAGCCAAGATTAATAACTGCCCTTAGGAAAACATTTTTCAAGTCGTTCTCATTGTATGGTTTCATTTTATTGATCCAAGTATTTGTGAGGTAGGTAATTTGTTTAATTGATTTTTGACTTCTTTTGGGTTTGTTGCTTCTTATTTATTTGAATTTTATACGTGTTTGTTTATAGAGTTTATCAGCCCATTTGTTTGGCCGAATTGATAAAATATTTCGACCCAGTGAATGGTTATAGTAAAGACCAAGGTTGGATTCTATCCAGTGGTGTTATTTTATTAGCTTTTATGAATATTCTAATTGCACATCATGCCGGAATAGGTTGCTTAAGAATTGGTATGAGAGTTAGGATTGCCTGCTGTTCCTTGATATATAGAAAGGTAATAATTATTTATTATAAAAGGCGTCACTTTTATTGTGTATTGTCTCTTTAACTGCATATTCGTTGGGTGTTCCCAGTTATTCTCCAAAAAATTTTTGACGTGACAACGTCTTATAATTCGATGGAGCCGGCTGCACGCACGAAAAAACATGACTCATGCGGCGTTACCTCGCTCTGAGGCGTTCCTTTTAAGGCTTGAAGTGCAAGCGAGAGCGCGGAACGAGCGACAAAGAGGCACAATCGGCCTCCGCGTTCGGCAGCGTTCGACATCTGTCTCTCTCCTACTTGAGTGAGCGATGCGTCCGCGTGGACAGCTGCTATACAATAATACATTTCCATTTACCTCCTTCTCTATATCCATACAAAATATCTACCAAACAAATAAAATTAAAATTTTCTTTTGAAAAAATGAAACCATTCCGTCAGTATTTTCTTATGACGTTGTCACGTTCAACTATCGTCAGTAAACCGACTTTACAGACAACCGATTTTTTTTTTACCTATAACTTTTTCAGCTGCTTCGTTTAAATAGAGTGTCAGCATCGAAGACTTCAGCAGGCCAAATGGTTAATTTGTTATCTAACGACGTTTCTAGATTTGATATGGTCCTTCTCTATTTCCATTATATTTGGTTGACACCTATACAGGTGGTTCTGGGTGCTTATGTGATGTGGAGAAGTGTCGGCATTGCCACTTTTGCTGGTCTTTTGGCCATTACCCTGGAAGCAATACCATTACAAGGTAATGTACGCCAAATGACATACTTAATAAAGTTTGTGCTGTTTCATTTCATGTTTTATACAACTTCTACTTTGTCCTACGTATCTGTTATTACAAGAGAGTACGGACTTTAATGCTGAAAGATTGTCTTTTTTTTTAGGGTACTTGTCAAAACAGTTGGGTGTTTTACGTTATAAAATCGCGATGAAGACTGACCACAGGGTAAAATTAATGAGTGAAGTTACTTCGGGGATCCAGGTGATTAAAATGTATGCTTGGGAGAAACCCTTCGAAAAATTGGTGCAGTTAGCCAGAAAGTAAGTAGTCAACTACAACTTTTGTTGTTTTGTGTAAGTAGGGGAAATTTTCAAAATTTTTGACTTAGGTATTGGACTTTTATTAAGTGACTAGCTTAAGGGTTGATTTTTAAAAATTGCCAAAACACGTATTTGGTTAATTTCAACGGTGAGTATTAAGAGCAACCTTCGAATAAATCTGACTACAAATTAAATATGTCCCAAAGAAAAATTGTAACTCCTTTTCACCTCTCCCCCTACAGGGGTTGAATCTTTTTTTCAAGAAAATTTGACCAAAAACAAAAATGTTCCATGCAATCTTTGCAAACTCCTTTCAGCTTCCTGCAGGGGTTGAATTTTTTAAAATGTTGAAGTAGGTGTTTGATTTTATGTCAATGAGCATAAATATCAAGTTTCATGTAAATCTGACCATGACTAAAACGTGAAGGTTTTCCCATATAAAAATATTTTCCAAATTTCCGGATTTTCCAAAAATTTTCTTTCACACAAACCTTGTCCTGTCAACAAATACAAAAAAAAAAAATTAATCAAATCGGTATTCAAGTGATGCTCCGTCATACATTTGGCAATTCCCTAGAACAGCTAGGAATAGTTTGAATTTGATTTTTACGTTTTTCTGGGCAATTTTTTCAATTTTTCTCTTCATAAGAACCTTCCTCTGACTTCAAGGAATATCTTAAAAAAGAAATGATCGAAAATCCATTTTTATGTATATAGAAAAGCGTAGAAGATGTGTTTCTCGAAAAAGGTACACGTCGTAATTGTCTAGGAATTTAAGAAGCGTTTTTCATTGAAAATCTTGAGGTTACTAACGGGTATTGCTATTGTAAATGTTTACAGATGTATCATCAGCTGATAAGAACAATTTTTTCTAATCGCGAAGTGTTTTCAAGTGTGTCATTTCTGTCATTAGTACAATAATTGAACTTGAAATGCTTTTTCTTTCTATATAGACACTGTTGAAGAAATCATAAATTTATATTTATTAGTTGCCACCTACTTTTTTAATCAATGTTTATCCATATTTCAAAACATACTCAAATGTCTTGCAATTGTTCTCATATAAAAATAGAGCATATTTTCTTTCGTATCCAATTATTAATTAAAAGTAAGAACGTCATAAGTATGAACCATTAATATGAAAATTCATTTGTCGAATTTTTTACCTACTACAAACTACCTCAGGTTAATGAAGAAAAATTGTTGCTGTTGTCATAAGTATGTTGTTGTTTTCTCTGAAATTGAATAAAATTGAAAAAGTGGTCTGTATTCTGTCGAAACTGCCAGACGTGGATCGCGATTTCGATCTTTTTGGATCTCATCAGCGCATCGCAGGCAGCTCCGACAGAACACAGACCAACTTTTACCTGCTGTCTGAAACGCCATCTGTAGTACGATGCTACATTTTGGGTTACGTATGCTCCAACAAGGTCCATTTAAATATTTATATATAACGATTCGTTTCAGCAAGTACATCTCCATATATTTAAATGGACCTTGTTGGAGCATACGTAATCCTAAAATGTAGCATCGTACTACAGATGGCGTTTTCCGCGCCATTTGTGGTATTTTCTTCTCTAAAATTCTCCTGTTTTATTACAGACTAGAAATTCAAGATATCAGAAAGGCGTCATTTATACGAGCCTTTTCAACGTCTCTTACAGTTTTTACAGAGCGGACAATTTTGTACTTAACCGTTGTAACTTATGCCCTTTTGGGCAACTATCTTACGGGTGATAAGGTATTCTCCATTGCGCAGCTTTACAATACCATCCAACTTTACATGTCCATTTTCCTACCACTGGCTATGTCCACTTATGCCGAAGCCCGAGTATCCGTAGATAGAATACAGGTAAAGGAAACACAAAATCGGAAACTGAATCTTCTTTTTTCAAGTCCAGGATTTTTAGGAATTTTTAGCCCAAGACGAAAACTACGAAGTAACTGAAACGGCAGTGAAACCTGTGATATATAGCGAACCTGGTCGTATAAAGCTATCAAACGCTTGTGCCTCGTGGTATCACGATGGTATCGTGAATACATTGTCGAATATAACGTTGGACATCCGTCCAGGCACCTTGGTGGCCGTTGTGGGTCAAGTGGGTGCAGGAAAAAGCTCTCTACTCCAACTGCTGATGAAGGAACTTCCTTTGAAGTGCGGCAAAATGGATGTCCAAGGAACGGTGTCCTTTGCATCCCAAGAACCATGGCTGTTCGTGTCGTCTGTTAGAAACAACATCCTCTTTGGTTCAGAGTACAACAAAAGGCGTTACATGGAGGTGGTCAAAGTGTGTTCTCTTCTACCAGATTTTGACCAGTTTGTTAGCGGCGATAAAACCATCGTGGAAGAACATGGTTCGTCCCTGAGTGGAGGACAGAGGGCGCGAGTCAACCTTGCCAGGGCCGTTTACAGACAAGCCGATATTTACTTGTTTGACGACCCTTTGTCAGCTGTCGATGCCCATGTCGGTAAAGAACTCTTCGAAGGTTGCATCGTGAACTATTTGAGCAACAAAACCAGAATTCTGGTGACTCACCAGACTCAGTTCCTAAAGAAGGCCGATCTCATTGTGATACTGAACAACGTAAGTGATTAATTTTTGTGGCATTCCGGATCCATTCTGTCAGTTCGTTTTTCACAGGGTGTTATTGAAAACATCGGAAGATATGACGAGCTTTCGGACAAATGCAAGGAATACCTGAAGACGGAAACCCACAGCGAGGAGGAGAAAGCCCACGAAGGAGCATTCAGAACGAACAGGCTTCTTTCTATCACCTCACATATGGTACCTATCCAAAGGAATACTTTTTGTTGGTCTTTTTCTTATCAGTTTTATTTTCTTGTTAGACTTCCAACGCTGATGACGAAGACGACCCCCAGGAAACCCAAGAGCTTATAGAGAAAGGTGGTATATCGAAAAAGCTTTATTGGAAGTACATCTCAGCTGGGTCCAACATTTGCATGCTGCTTCTTCTGGTGTTCTTGACTATGTCTGCGCAAATTTTCTCCAACGCTGGTGACTTCTGGCTAACCCATTGGTAAGTTCCAACAGTTCGTTTGAATATAGTACCTACGATTGTATTTATGGTTTCGTCTAGGACTAATACAGAAGAAACAATACTGGCAGATCATGTATTGCAACAGAAAAACCATTCCTCGATGATCTTCACCAATGGCCACAACAAGACTGATGAAAATGATTCAACCATCTCACCAATCTTGAACGACTTGGATAATTTCACTAACTTTAGTCCCAACGAACCCCTGGAATCGTACTTCGCAATCCAACAACCGCATTCACGTCGACTAGAATACGTTTACATCTATACTGGTTTCATAATTCTTTCGATAGTATTGCTGACCATAAGAGCGGTGGTTTTCAACTGGGTTTGCATGGCATCTTCGAAAGCTCTTCACAATACCATGTTCAACAACGTGTTGCAGGCCACCATGAGATTCTTCAACACAAATCCGTCTGGTAAGTTTTTGATCATTGTGGTTAGATTCTCGCAGTGTTATTGTGCGAATGTGTCTTTTCAGGAAGGATATTGAACAGGTTTTCGAAAGATATGGGAGCTGTCGACGAACTTCTTCCCATAGCTTTGCTGAACGCGATCCAGATCTTCCTGGTAGCTGCTGGAATAATCATGATGGTTGTAATAGTCCAACCATGGATGACTATACCAACGCTGCTGTTAGCGATCATGTTTTGGCTGGTGAAAAATGTTTATTTGGCATCTGCTCAAGACCTGAAAAGATTGGAAGGAGTCAGTAAGTTCCTTTTGGATTTTTATGGTTTTGGTTAAGACTTTCATAGTCTGAGGTATTGGGGCATGTGACTCTTTGACAAGTGATTAGTACCTTTAGGCGTTCCTCCAATGAAATTCTTCAACGTGCAGATCTAAAATTCTAGACAGAAACTGGACGCATATTTATCAAATCCTCTGATAAAGATTTAGTAAAAAAACTTGATTGAAGGAATATTTATTTTGATAACGTTCTGAAAACCCAAATTGAAACATTCACCATCTTTTTTAACATTGTATCTTCCTTCTTTAGCGAAAGCTCCTGTATTCTCTCACGCTTGTGAAACTCTCCGGTTTATCAACCATCAGATCAAAATTCTTTCTGATAACGTTCTGAAAACCCAAATTGAAACATCACCATCTTTTTTAACATTGTATCTTCCTTCTTTAGCGAAAGCTCCTGTATTCTCTCACGCTTGTGCAACTCTCTCCGGTCTATCAACCATCAGATCGACGAAAGCCCAACAAATGGTTTCTAAAGAGTTCGATCTCCTTCAGGATCAACACACGGCCGCCTTTTTCTTGTTCACCTATTGCAGTGAAGCGTTCGGGTTCTATTTGGATTTGATCAGCTTGCTGTTTCTGGCCGTCTTGACGTACCAATTCATAATATTTGAAACAGGTCAGTGAATCGATTATTATCTTTCGGCATTTGTACAAATTGTTTGTATCTGCAACAGGGTCCACTCTTGCTGGAAACGTCGGTTTGGTCATCTCCCAGTCTCTAATTTTGACTGGAATGCTGCAACATGGTGTGAAGCAAACTGCAGAGACTGCAAGTCAAATGACGAGTGTGGAACGTATTTTGCAGTATTACCACTTGGAAAAAGAAGGTCCATTTGAGTCCCTGCCGACCAAAAAACCACCACAAGACTGGCCCCAGATGGGAAGAATCGTCTTCAAAAATCTCACTCTCCGATACGCCCCGGATGAACCTCCAGTACTTAGGAATTTGTCTTTTGAAATCCAGGCCGGAGAAAAGGTTGGAATCGTTGGAAGAACAGGAGCTGGGAAGTCCAGTTTGATCTCAGCATTGTTCCGTTTGGCCCCCACGGAAGGTAGCATGGCAATCGACGGGATAGAAACAGAGGATATCGGACTTCACGACCTGCGTACCAAGATCTCTATCATCCCCCAGGAACCCGTTTTGTTCTCGGCTTCGGTCAGATACAATCTGGATCCGTTCAACAAATCTGATGACAAGGCTTTGTGGAAGGCTTTAGAAGACGTGAGTAATCTATCTATAATGTGGTGTCATGGGACGTTTGTGATTGTTTTTTTTCTTTCCAGGTGGAACTGAAAGATGCAGTGAAAAGTTTGGATCAAGAAATAACAGAAGGTGGTACAAATTTCAGCGTTGGACAACGACAGCTGGTCTGTTTGGCTAGAGCTATCTTAAGGAACAACAGAGTCCTGGTTATGGACGAGGCCACAGCCAATGTTGATCACCAAACCGATTCGTTTATCCAAGCGACGATTAGAAGAAACTTCAAAGATTGCACGGTATTGACGATAGCCCATCGGCTGAACACCATAATGGACTCGGACAAGGTCTTGGTGATGGACGCTGGAGAAGCCGTGGAATTTGCGCATCCCCATGAACTTTTACAAAAACCTGACGGTCATCTCACCGGATTGGTCAAGAAAACCGGTAAAGTTATGGAAGCTAGTCTTCGAGCCGTAGCAGAGGAGTCGTTCAAGAGGAAACAGGAACTTTACATCAAATAACAATAAGAATAGGAAAAGAATCGAACTTTATCGTTATTGTTTATTATTTTACAAGTACCACAAGTAGACGAAATCGGACCAAAAAGAAAGGAAAACTGTTTTCTTCTCTTAACTGTGATTTATTGATTAAGTAAGTGACTTTGGTAAGTATGGACGACCTCAAGACTTCAATCGCAAAGAGGATGAAGATGAAAAAGGGAACGAGGAGGGGAGATAGAGTGAAATGGGGAAGAATCGACCCCTCTTCCTCCAGAAAGTATTACTATTATACATGTATGTATAAAATTATGTTTATTTATTTTTTTTTTTTGATGGCGGCTACTTTTCGAAACGTTGAAAAGAAAAGGTGCTGCATTGAACTTTTGCTAGATACAAGAATAACAACAGAACAATTCCTAATTATTATTATTATTGTTATTTNAAAATTCTCCTGTTTTATTACAGACTAGAAATTCAAGATATCAGAAAGGCGTCATTTATACGAGCCTTTTCAACGTCTCTTACAGTTTTTACAGAGCGGACAATTTTGTACTTAACCGTTGTAACTTATGCCCTTTTGGGCAACTATCTTACGGGTGATAAGGTATTCTCCATTGCGCAGCTTTACAATACCATCCAACTTTACATGTCCATTTTCCTACCACTGGCTATGTCCACTTATGCCGAAGCCCGAGTATCCGTAGATAGAATACAGGTAAAGGAAACACAAAATCGGAAACTGAATCTTCTTTTTTCAAGTCCAGGATTTTTAGGAATTTTTAGCCCAAGACGAAAACTACGAAGTAACTGAAACGGCAGTGAAACCTGTGATATATAGCGAACCTGGTCGTATAAAGCTATCAAACGCTTGTGCCTCGTGGTATCACGATGGTATCGTGAATACATTGTCGAATATAACGTTGGACATCCGTCCAGGCACCTTGGTGGCCGTTGTGGGTCAAGTGGGTGCAGGAAAAAGCTCTCTACTCCAACTGCTGATGAAGGAACTTCCTTTGAAGTGCGGCAAAATGGATGTCCAAGGAACGGTGTCCTTTGCATCCCAAGAACCATGGCTGTTCGTGTCGTCTGTTAGAAACAACATCCTCTTTGGTTCAGAGTACAACAAAAGGCGTTACATGGAGGTGGTCAAAGTGTGTTCTCTTCTACCAGATTTTGACCAGTTTGTTAGCGGCGATAAAACCATCGTGGAAGAACATGGTTCGTCCCTGAGTGGAGGACAGAGGGCGCGAGTCAACCTTGCCAGGGCCGTTTACAGACAAGCCGATATTTACTTGTTTGACGACCCTTTGTCAGCTGTCGATGCCCATGTCGGTAAAGAACTCTTCGAAGGTTGCATCGTGAACTATTTGAGCAACAAAACCAGAATTCTGGTGACTCACCAGACTCAGTTCCTAAAGAAGGCCGATCTCATTGTGATACTGAACAACGTAAGTGATTAATTTTTGTGGCATTCCGGATCCATTCTGTCAGTTCGTTTTTCACAGGGTGTTATTGAAAACATCGGAAGATATGACGAGCTTTCGGACAAATGCAAGGAATATCTGAAGACGGAAACCCACAGCGAGGAGGAGAAAGCCCACGAAGGAGCATTCAGAACGAACAGGCTTCTTTCTATCACCTCACATATGGTACCTATCCAAAGGAATACTTTTTGTTGGTCTTTTTCTTATCAGTTTTATTTTCTTGTTAGACTTCCAACGCTGATGACGAAGACGATCCCCAGGAAACCCAAGAGCTTATAGAGAAAGGTGGTATATCGAAAAAGCTTTATTGGAAGTACATCTCAGCTGGGTCCAACATTTGCATGCTGCTTCTTCTGGTGTTCTTGACTATGTCTGCGCAAATTTTCTCCAACGCTGGTGACTTCTGGCTAACCCATTGGTAAGTTCCAACAGTTCGTTTGAATATAGTACCTACGATTGTATTTATGGTTTCGTCTAGGACTAATACAGAAGAAACAATACTGGCAGATCATGTATTGCAACAGAAAAACCATTCCTCGATGATCTTCACCAATGGCCACAACAAGACTGATGAAAATGATTCAACCATCTCACCAATCTTGAACGACTTGGATAATTTCACTAACTTTAGTCCCAACGAACCCCTGGAATCGTACTTCGCAATCCAACAACCGCATTCACGTCGACTAGAATACGTTTACATCTATACTGGTTTCATAATTCTTTCGATAGTATTGCTGACCATAAGAGCGGTGGTTTTCAACTGGGTTTGCATGGCATCTTCGAAAGCTCTTCACAATACCATGTTCAACAACGTGTTGCAGGCCACCATGAGATTCTTCAACACAAATCCGTCTGGTAAGTTTTTGATCATTGTGGTTAGATTCTCGCAGTGTTATTGTGCGAATGTGTCTTTTCAGGAAGGATATTGAACAGGTTTTCGAAAGATATGGGAGCTGTCGACGAACTTCTTCCCATAGCTTTGCTGAACGCGATCCAGATCTTCCTGGTAGCTGCTGGAATAATCATGATGGTTGTAATAGTCCAACCATGGATGACTATACCAACGCTGCTGTTAGCGATCATGTTTTGGCTGGTGAAAAATGTTTATTTGGCATCTGCTCAAGACCTGAAAAGATTGGAAGGAGTCAGTAAGTTCCTTTTGGATTTTTATGGTTTTGGTTAAGACTTTCATAGTCTGAGGTATTGGGGCATGTGACTCTTTGACAAGTGATTAGTACCTTTAGGCGTTCCTCCAATGAAATTCTTCAACGTGCAGATCTAAAATTCTAGACAGAAACTGGACGCATATTTATCAAATCCTCTGATAAAGATTTAGTAAAAAAACTTGATTGAAGGAATATTTATTTTGATAACGTTCTGAAAACCCAAATTGAAACATTCACCATCTTTTTTAACATTGTATCTTCCTTCTTTAGCGAAAGCTCCTGTATTCTCTCACGCTTGTGAAACTCTCCGGTTTATCAACCATCAGATCAAAATTCTTTCTGATAACGTTCTGAAAACCCAAATTGAAACATTCACCATCTTTTTTAACATTGTGTCTTCCTTCTTTAGCGAAAGCTCCTGTATTCTCTCACGCTTGTGAAACTCTCTCCGGTTTATCAACCATCAGATCAAAATTCTTTCTGATAACGTTCTGAAAACCCAAATTGAAACATTCACCATCTTTTTTAACATTGTGTCTTCCTTCTTTAGCGAAAGCTCCTGTATTCTCTCACGCTTGTGAAACTCTCTCCGGTTTATCAACCATCAGATCAAAATTCTTTCTGATAACGTTCTGAAAACCCAAATTGAAACATTCACCATCTTTTTTAACATTGTGTCTTCCTTCTTTAGCGAAAGCTCCTGTATTCTCTCACGCTTGTGAAACTCTCTCCGGTTTATCAACCATCAGATCAAAATTCTTTCTGATAACGTTCTGAAAACCCAAATTGAAACATTCACCATCTTTTTTAACATTGTGTCTTCCTTCTTTAGCGAAAGCTCCTGTATTCTCTCACGCTTGTGAAACTCTCTCCGGTTTATCAACCATCAGATCAAAATTCTTTCTGATAACGTTCTGAAAACCCAAATTGAAACATTCACCATCTTTTTTAACATTGTGTCTTCCTTCTTTAGCGAAAGCTCCTGTATTCTCTCACGCTTGTGAAACTCTCTCCGGTTTATCAACCATCAGATCAAAATTCTTTCTGATAACGTTCTGAAAACCCAAATTGAAACATTCACCATCTTTTTTAACATTGTGTCTTCCTTCTTTAGCGAAAGCTCCTGTATTCTCTCACGCTTGTGAAACTCTCTCCGGTTTATCAACCATCAGATCAAAATTCTTTCTGATAACGTTCTGAAAACCCAAATTGAAACATTCACCATCTTTTTTAACATTGTGTCTTCCTTCTTTAGCGAAAGCTCCTGTATTCTCTCACGCTTGTGAAACTCTCTCCGGTTTATCAACCATCAGATCAAAATTCTTTCTGATAACGTTCTGAAAACCCAAATTGAAACATTCACCATCTTTTTTAACATTGTGTCTTCCTTCTTTAGCGAAAGCTCCTGTATTCTCTCACGCTTGTGAAACTCTCTCCGGTTTATCAACCATCAGATCAAAATTCTTTCTGATAACGTTCTGAAAACCCAAATTGAAACATTCACCATCTTTTTTAACATTGTGTCTTCCTTCTTTAGCGAAAGCTCCTGTATTCTCTCACGCTTGTGAAACTCTCTCCGGTTTATCAACCATCAGATCAAAATTCTTTCTGATAACGTTCTGAAAACCCAAATTGAAACATTCACCATCTTTTTTAACATTGTGTCTTCCTTCTTTAGCGAAAGCTCCTGTATTCTCTCACGCTTGTGAAACTCTCTCCGGTTTATCAACCATCAGATCAAAATTCTTTCTGATAACGTTCTGAAAACCCAAATTGAAACATTCACCATCTTTTTTAACATTGTGTCTTCCTTCTTTAGCGAAAGCTCCTGTATTCTCTCACGCTTGTGAAACTCTCTCCGGTTTATCAACCATCAGATCAAAATTCTTTCTGATAACGTTCTGAAAACCCAAATTGAAACATTCACCATCTTTTTTAACATTGTGTCTTCCTTCTTTAGCGAAAGCTCCTGTATTCTCTCACGCTTGTGAAACTCTCTCCGGTTTATCAACCATCAGATCAAAATTCTTTCTGATAACGTTCTGAAAACCCAAATTGAAACATTCACCATCTTTTTTAACATTGTGTCTTCCTTCTTTAGCGAAAGCTCCTGTATTCTCTCACGCTTGTGAAACTCTCTCCGGTTTATCAACCATCAGATCAAAATTCTTTCTGATAACGTTCTGAAAACCCAAATTGAAACATTCACCATCTTTTTTAACATTGTGTCTTCCTTCTTTAGCGAAAGCTCCTGTATTCTCTCACGCTTGTGAAACTCTCTCCGGTTTATCAACCATCAGATCAAAATTCTTTCTGATAACGTTCTGAAAACCCAAATTGAAACATTCACCATCTTTTTTAACATTGTGTCTTCCTTCTTTAGCGAAAGCTCCTGTATTCTCTCACGCTTGTGAAACTCTCTCCGGTTTATCAACCATCAGATCAAAATTCTTTCTGATAACGTTCTGAAAACCCAAATTGAAACATTCACCATCTTTTTTAACATTGTGTCTTCCTTCTTTAGCGAAAGCTCCTGTATTCTCTCACGCTTGTGAAACTCTCTCCGGTTTATCAACCATCAGATCAAAATTCTTTCTGATAACGTTCTGAAAACCCAAATTGAAACATTCACCATCTTTTTTAACATTGTGTCTTCCTTCTTTAGCGAAAGCTCCTGTATTCTCTCACGCTTGTGAAACTCTCTCCGGTTTATCAACCATCAGATCAAAATTCTTTCTGATAACGTTCTGAAAACCCAAATTGAAACATTCACCATCTTTTTTAACATTGTGTCTTCCTTCTTTAGCGAAAGCTCCTGTATTCTCTCACGCTTGTGAAACTCTCTCCGGTTTATCAACCATCAGATCAAAATTCTTTCTGATAACGTTCTGAAAACCCAAATTGAAACATTCACCATCTTTTTTAACATTGTGTCTTCCTTCTTTAGCGAAAGCTCCTGTATTCTCTCACGCTTGTGAAACTCTCTCCGGTTTATCAACCATCAGATCAAAATTCTTTCTGATAACGTTCTGAAAACCCAAATTGAAACATTCACCATCTTTTTTAACATTGTGTCTTCCTTCTTTAGCGAAAGCTCCTGTATTCTCTCACGCTTGTGAAACTCTCTCCGGTTTATCAACCATCAGATCAAAATTCTTTCTGATAACGTTCTGAAAACCCAAATTGAAACATTCACCATCTTTTTTAACATTGTGTCTTCCTTCTTTAGCGAAAGCTCCTGTATTCTCTCACGCTTGTGAAACTCTCTCCGGTTTATCAACCATCAGATCAAAATTCTTTCTGATAACGTTCTGAAAACCCAAATTGAAACATTCACCATCTTTTTTAACATTGTGTCTTCCTTCTTTAGCGAAAGCTCCTGTATTCTCTCACGCTTGTGAAACTCTCTCCGGTTTATCAACCATCAGATCAAAATTCTTTCTGATAACGTTCTGAAAACCCAAATTGAAACATTCACCATCTTTTTTAACATTGTGTCTTCCTTCTTTAGCGAAAGCTCCTGTATTCTCTCACGCTTGTGAAACTCTCTCCGGTTTATCAACCATCAGATCAAAATTCTTTCTGATAACGTTCTGAAAACCCAAATTGAAACATTCACCATCTTTTTTAACATTGTGTCTTCCTTCTTTAGCGAAAGCTCCTGTATTCTCTCACGCTTGTGAAACTCTCTCCGGTTTATCAACCATCAGATCAAAATTCTTTCTGATAACGTTCTGAAAACCCAAATTGAAACATTCACCATCTTTTTTAACATTGTGTCTTCCTTCTTTAGCGAAAGCTCCTGTATTCTCTCACGCTTGTGAAACTCTCTCCGGTTTATCAACCATCAGATCAAAATTCTTTCTGATAACGTTCTGAAAACCCAAATTGAAACATTCACCATCTTTTTTAACATTGTGTCTTCCTTCTTTNTGTTCTAGTTTTAGGGAAATGCGAAGTTTAGCTCAGGATAGGAAAGAGTGGAGGTACGTGTCCAACCAGTCTTAGGACTGATGACCTTATGATGATGATGATGATGAATTTCGAGGGTATTTTCAATTTTTTTCTCAAAATATTTCTAGTTATTGTACAAATTAAAAATATTTACTAAAAAAATAACTTCTCGAAGGACTTGAGTTGCACTTTCACACCTCTTAACTACTAATTTGCGATCAGTAATCTAATTTAGGTCTTTTTGTATCACTGTTAGCTCCTGTTTCTACTCCTAGTATGTCCCTAACTAGCCCTTCATGTCCCAAAAGGTGGTCTACCATTCTATCTCTCCTTTTACTTATTTGACTTCTATAGTGCCCCCTGTTCTTCTAAACTTTTCTATCGACGATATTTCTACCATCCGCCTATAAGTCCATGTTTTACTTTTGCACAGAGCCGTACTTCGAACACACACTCATTCAATAAGCGATTTATTTTTGTTAAATGCGCCGTTATTCTCTGCTTTATACTGAGTTATCTTGCAGTTTTCATTATTGTTATTAATTTTTGTATCACCTTTTGATTTACTTTTGTATATAGGCTTTTAATATAACTACATTTTCTTTGAAAATTAACAATGTAATTTTATTACAGTGTTATACATACGCAGTTTGTGTTAATAATAATTTCTTTTTATCTTTTTATTTTAAATGTATGGTCTACATATTTATACTAGTTAGTATCAGGTGATATGGGCATCTCTTGTGACCTTTAGTCGTTCTAAGAAATATGCATAAAAAATCGTTTTTATTTCTTATGGTGAGGTAAAGACGTGACTATCTCTAGTGTCCTAATGGATTTGTACAATGCTTGATGGTTTTATTATCTACCAACAAATATTCGGGTCAGTATAATCGTAAAGTTCAAGACAAATGGGTTGGTAACGGTGGGCCCTACAATTCTTTATTATAAAAAAGCGAAATAATTAATTTTTAATTTATACAAACAAAGGTATCATAATAATTATGATTTTAATGACGTTAATATTCTACGTTACATAAGTTTACCAGAAATTAAAAATTAAAAACGGAAAGCAGTAACAACTTATTTTTCCATTTGTTATTTAATAAAAAAGAAAAAATGCGTACTTAGTATTGTTATGGTGTTTCGCCACAAAAAAATTACCTCTTGCCGTAACTACTAGAAAGTAAATTTTATTTCTAAAGAACATAAAGACGGTAATAAAAATTTCTTATCATTTCGGATGTATTGTAAAAAGCCAACGTAAATCAGAGTTGAAAAGAAAAATTCAATTACTTAGTTGTAAAAAATCGAATGACATAGCGTGTTTGCAAGAGTTTGTACATTGTGTTCTACAATTGAAGAACAATTATTCTACGAATGGTGAGTTTATAAACAATTAATATTTTAAATATATTTATCTAGTACTTATGCAAAATTATTAATTAAAATATAATTATTGTACCACAAGAACAATAGATTTTTTTGAAGATAGAAGCTGAAGTTGTAATTGTAAAATTTCGTAACCAAAACAATTTTTTTATTGTAATGAAAAAAATTACATGTTTTTTAATTGTTTTTCTTACCGTTTATAGTCCAAAACCTTCGTCGTACACTAGACCAAATGAAAAGAGAAAAATTTTGAAAAACAAATTTGTAATTTCAGAAATTACCCTGAACAAACAAACTAATAAACTTTTATGGTATTAGTGACGATTTATAACAATTAATATCTATATAAAAATTAAAACTTACCTTATCGGAAAATGGAGTAATTGCAGTAGATAATTATTATTATTATTATTATAAAAGCTTTTTTT